AGGGCCTCTTCGTCCCTTCTCACGACGTCTCGGTCACAGGGCCTCCCCGTCCCTTCTCACGACGTTTCGGTCACAGGGCCTCCCCGTCCCTTCTCACGACGTTTCGGTCACAGGGCCTCCCCGTCCCTTCTCACGACGTCTCGGTCACATGGCCTCCTCGTCCCGTCTCACGACGTCTCGGTCACATGGCCTCCTCGTCCCGTCTCACGACGTCTCGGTCACATGGCCTCCTCGTCCCTTCTCACGACGTCTCGGTCACATGGCCTCCTCGTCCCGTCTCACGACGTTTCGGTCACATGGCCTCCCCGTCCCTTCTCACGACGTTTCGGTCACAGGGCCTCCTCGTCCCTTCTCACGACGTCTCGGTCACAGGGCCTCCCCGTCCCTTCTCACGACGTTTCGGTCACAGGGCCTCCTCGTCCCTTCTCACGACGTCTCGGTCACAGGGCCTCCTCGTCCCTTCTCACGACGGGGCATACCCCAAGCTCACTCACTCACGCTTCTTGCCACGTGAAGATGATGTGGCTGTCTCAACCTGTGTGTGCTCACCCATACGTGTGCCCCTCTCTCTGTCGGTGTAATTCTCCAAATCCACGTTCATCAGTAGCACGCCTGTGACCTTTAAACGAAATCTATATAGTATAGAGTTGGCGGCGTTTCGGGAAATTGCCCTTTTTCTCCCTCTAGCCTAATTTTCACGAGGATCCTGATGTCTTCTTGGAAAATTTGTCTAATTCCTTTATTAAAAAAAATAGTTTTAGTTTGGAAAGCAATACATTTATTTTGATCTTGGGGTGAAAGTACGGAGGTGGAAGGACGCGGCGTTGGGCGGTTTTCACTCAACCTCGGTATGCAGGTGCCACACCTCAACAACCTAGTTGCTGTACTGCCTCACGCACGGCACCACCTGCTCGTGGTGTGGCCGGACTTTGTAGGACGGGGGAGCCCCAAAGGAGAACTCGAACCCTGGGCTGTGGTTTTCTGGAGTGTCTGACCCTTCAACGTCGCTCTGTTGCAAGCGACACAGAGAGGAACCTGGGGCATGGAAGTGCTTTGTGCGTGTGTAGCGGTGTGTCCGTGTGTATGTGTCAGTGCGTGTGTACGTGTGGGGGAGCGGTGGTGCGGCGGTTAGCGTGCTGCGCTATGCACCCCGGCGACCCAAGTTCGATTCCCGTTCGGTCAACAACCGGTGACGATTTTCTGAACCAGTGCTGGGCGTCCCCTGGGTCGTCTCAACCTCAAATGAGTACCTGTTGTGTGTAAAAACATCGCCACTGGGGAGACAAAGGCGGCCGGGCGTAATGTTAGCCCACCCCCGCGTGTGCCTTTCCAGCCTGCATAGGTGCTCGCTAACAGCACTTGCCTCAAAAGTTTGTTAAGACTACACGGGGAATATTTGTCTTCGTATGTGTACAGCATCTATATACATGTAGCGTACGTGTGCTTGTCTTTGCAGGTGTGTATGTGGGTGTATTTGTTAACGCTGTGTGGAAGCTACCTGGTCTGTCGCTCCGCACGAAGCTTCAGGTCTTCTCGGCCACAGCCATTCCCTCCCTTCTCTACGCTTGCGAAACGTGGATCCCCCTAATGGAGCATCTTCGTCGGTTGGAAACATTTAGGCTGGCCTGCCTACGATCCATCCTGGGTTTAACCAGGCTAGATTGTGTGAGGAGCTCACAAATCCTAGAAAGATCTGGGCAAAGTCCCATCGGTGAGCTCCTCCGGCAGGCAAGGCTGCATTGGCTGGGTCATGTAGCCCGCATGCCCAGCCACCGCATGCCTAAACAGCTTTTGTTCGGCCGGATCGAGGGGGCTAAACGGGCGTGGCACGGGCTAGAGAAGAGATGGAGTGATGTGGTACAGGAGGACGTGGAGCTGAGTGGACTTGCCGATGACTGGTACCAGCGGTGTCAAGATCGGCCTCTGTGGAGGAGGCTCGTGAAGGACGCTACTGGGCAGTTGGAGGCAGTCGCCCTCGTTGTTGTGAGCGACGCTCACAACAACGAGCAGAGCGCCGGGTGTCTAAAGCACAGCAAGTTGGTACAGTAGGGGGCACAGGTGGTGCATCAGCCAGTCATCTCGGTCATCTCGGTCAGTCGACCCGTGGCACCTGGGTCTGCCCCGTGACCTCCTGCCAGCGGGCTTTCGACACTTCACGTGGCCTCAAGGTGCACTTGGCCTGGCACAAGCATCGTGGTGACGTCACCGCCACTTAGTGGCGAATGGCGGTTGTTGTTGTGTGTATGTGTGTGTATGTGTTTGTGTGTATGTGTGTATGTGTGTGTATGTGTGTGTGTATGTGTGTGTATGTGTGTGTGTATGTGTGTGTATGTGTGTGTGTATGTGTGTGTATGTGTGTATGTGTGTATGTGTGTGTATGTGTGTGTGTATGTGTGTATGTATGTGTGTATGTATGTGTGTGTGTATGTATGTGTGTATGTATGTGTGTATGTATGTGTGTATGTGTGTGTGTGTATGTGTGTGTGTATGTGTGTGTATGTGTGTGTGTGTGTATGTATGTGTGTATGTGTGTGTGTGTATGTATGTATGTATGTGTGTATGTATGTGTGTATATGTGTATATGTGTGTATGTGTGTATGTGTGTGTATGTGTGTGTGTGTATGTGTGTGTGCCATCAATGAGTGCGATCTGTAAGCGTCAGCACTGCGGGAGACGAAGGCGACCGGGGCGTGACGTTGGCCACGCCACCTCCATCTCGAGCCGTGCGACATCCACAGCACTTGCCCCATCACAGCCTCTCAACACTCTTTACGGGGCGACTTCTCTCCTTGTGGTTTCCGTGCGCACGTGCGTGTGAGCGTGCGGAGATTGCGTGGCCGTGTGTCCATTACGTACCGCGAGTTCTGTTGGCGCATCAATAGGTGCTCGCTAACAGCACTTGCCCCGGCAGTCACTGCAAGACTTTGACTGCGTGGGGCTCAACGTCACCTCGGACTCGTACAGCCGCTTACAAGGCACAGAAGTGAGAATGTGAGTACCGTACCGCATTGCCTAATGACACACACACACACACACCTATTTACGTGACAGCACATGAGCTAACAGTCGCTAGACACGTATATGTTACCTATATTAGTTAACAAAAATTGTTACATTTCGATTTAAAGCTTTCGTGACTGCAGGGATTCGTCTTCTTGGTTCTTTCGGTAAAGTCACGTAGAAGGGAAATAATAAAATAATAAAAATAAAACACAATAAAATAATTCTCACGACGTTTCGGCCACAACGCAAGCAGCCGTCCTCAAGTGAAAACCAGGTCCGTCGAGGCGACAGCGTCTGAATGAAACAGCACACGAGCTTGGAGCATATATATAAGCTGGGCGCCTTGTGCATCTCTGAGTCTCTATGTATCTCTATAGGTCTCTGTGTATCTCTATGAGTCTCCATGTATCTCTATGAGTCTCTATGTATCTCTATGAGTCTCTATGTATCTCTATGAGTCTCTATGTATCTATATGAGTCTCTATGTATCTCTATGAGTCTCTATATATCTCTATGAGTCTCTATGTATCTCTTTGGGTTTAATAAATGGGTCCATCGTTTTGGTTGCATGGCACCACTGTGGCTGCATCTTCCATGTTCAATCAATGAAGGAGTTTAGGTGCATCATCGGCCTGGTGGTGATGTTCTGATGATGTGGTTGACGGTTCCACCACCAGTGTCTTTGAGGTGGAATGTCAAAAGCGAGGAGGAGGCGTGGCTACTATGATTGCGTCGTGAGGGTGGAATGGTGGAATCGAATCATTGACGGATTGAATAACGTCTATGAGGGTCGATGTTTTATTCGTGTCCACTGCATGTACGTATGTTAAACTTCTTTCGCACCGCACTTATCCAACCATGTTCATCGAAGGTGCGGGGGAAGGACAACTAAATACACACAATAAGCAGTTCGATAGAAATTAGTCTTCAATCGAGATGATTTAAAAGTTCACAGCTCCGGTGGCTTACGAATATCGGAAGGAAGAGCGTTCCAGACGGCCGCAGAAGCGCGTCTGAAAGCGCAGCGCGATGCGGTAACCGTCTTCGTTCGATGACTTGCCACATTTCGATTTAAAGCTTTCGTGACTGCAGGGATTCATCTTCTTGGTTCTTTCGGTAAAGTCACGTAGAAGGGAAGTAATAAAATAATAAAAATAAAACATAATAAAATAAAATAATTCTCACGACGTTTCGGCCACAACGCAAGCAGCCGTCCTCAGGTGAAGGCAGCCGTCCTTCACCTGAGGACGGCTGCTTGCGTTGTGGCCGAAACGTCGTGAGAATTATTTTATTTTATTATGTTTTATTTTTATTATTTTATTACTTCCCTTCTATGTGACTTTACCGAAAGAACCAAGAAGACTTGCCACAATCCGCTGGGAGGATGCCCGGAGTTCGCGTGGTGATAGTTTCAGCTCCTGGACGAGGTCAGCAAAGGTATTGGGGTTCATTTGTGGCAAGCACGTTGTGTGTAACGAGTGTAACCTTATAAACCCAGCAGAGTTTGCACAACGGGTTACAACCCTGCTGACGAGACCGGTCGAGGGATTTGCTGCTTAAAAGCATTCATCCGCGACAGGCCGGTTGCTCGTTCGATCCTCGTGAAATGTTTACGCGTTGTGTACGCTGTTGTTGACCGATATAAATATACCCACCCTCCCCACCCCCGCCATAGGAATGTGGAATATATATCACTGGCTCAGTGCCACGAGCATTTCTCTCTGAAGCAGCGCTAGCGGGGAAAGCGCCGCGCCTCCTAGCGTGTGGAATAAACAGGGACACTTTGGTAAGGGACCTCAGAAGTGCTTCTGCGTTATCCACTTCCACGGGCCATTTCTGTGACGTGGCAATAATACACTGGTCCGCGAGAGTTCCGGATGGATTCTTCGTCTCGTGACACGAAGGTCGAAGGGCGAGGTTGGAATAAAATAATGGGAAGGTAAAAAAAAAAGGTAAAATGAAGTTTAAAAATAAATATCTAATCTGGTGTCTCACAGATTTCTGCATGGAGCGGCAGACGCAGAGGACACGGGCTCGCGTTTATGATGATGTCATGGGTTGGCCAATGCTAAGGTGAGATCCGTGAAGATGAGACAGAAACATTCATCCAGCAGTGGATCGAACATGGATGACGACGGCCGTGATGTCATCTGCTCTTGATGATGGATGATGATGTTGCCGCTGCTGCTGTCACTGCCACTTCTTATGCTGATGGTGGTGTGTCATTGCTATGGGGCGGGTGTATAATAACACGGGTGCTGTTATTGATGAGGACGGAGATTCAGCCAATACTGACAATGCTGATGCTCAGGATGATGATGACGATGAAGCAGATGGTGCTGCTGTTGTTGATGATGCTACTACAACTGCTGATGATGGTACTGCCGCTGATGCTACTACTACTACTGCTGCGGCTGATGCTACTCTGACTGCTGCTCTATGTTGAACTTCTACACTATGGGGACCTCATTTGCCAGTAAAAATATGATAATTGGTTCTTTACCCTTCTATCTGGCAACAAAACTGACACCTTTTTACAAGGAGTCATGTTTGCATAGACCGCAATACCTGCAGTCATAAATACAAACAAAAGACATAACTCTGACAGTGCACATTATCAGAGTTATGTCTTTTGTTTGTATTTATGACTGCAGGTATTGCGGTCTATGCAAACATGACTCCTTGTAAAAAGGTGTCAGTTTTGTTGCCAGATAGAAGGGTAAAGAACCAATTATCATATGTTGAACTTCTTTCGTAGCGTACATAGCCAACCGTGGTCATCGGAGGTGCGGGGAAGGACAACAGACGAAGCACAAAAAGCAGTTTCAATCTCGACGATTTAAAAGTGCATAGCTCCAGTGGCTTCCTCGTGTCAGCAGAGCGTTCCAGACGGCCGCAGAGCGCATCATGTGGTAAACGTCTTCGTTTGATGGTTAGCCAAAATCCGCTGCTGCGAGTGTGACCGGAGCTTGCATGATGGTTACGCTCCTTGACGAGATCGGCAAGGTATTGTGGTTCTTGTATGGCAAGCACTTTGTGTGTAACCTTATGATGATGATGATGCTATTACTGCTGCTGCTACTGCTGCTCCTACTGCTGCTGCTCCTCCTGCTGATGATACTACCACTGCTGCTGTTGGCGATGATGGTGTGTGTGGGGGGGGGGGGTGTGCCTCGCAGGCGATGGAGCTGCTGACGGATGTGCTGTGGAGGCAAGACGAGGACTTGGGCGCGAACCGAGACCTGTTTCACGGGGGCCCCAAACCCCGCGCCACCCTTCCGCTTCGCAAGCGCCCTCCTCCCATCGTGGGGGGGGCCGCAGCGCTGCGGGCTGTCACCGGCGGTCCGTGCCCCGGTGGGCCCTGCCCCTTCGACTGCCTCGGGCCGTGCCCCTGCGCCTGCCACTGCCCTGGGCCCCGCAGTGAGAAGAGAGAGGGGGAGGAGGGGGAAGAGGGAGGGGAGCAGGGAGCCGTGGACGGGGAGACGGGGGAGGCGCTGCCCCCAGACGAGCTGAGCGTGGGCACGGGCAGCCTGCCCCCCAAGGTGAGAGGGCATCGTCATTAACAACATCATCAGCAGCAGCAGCAACATCATCATCAGCATCAGCAACAGCAGCAGCTTGAAGTAGGAGTGTCTGCACGCGCACGCAATGCTCAGAGTTGAGACAATCGTTATCAGCAAAAGCAGCATCATCATCAATATGAGCAACATCATTGTCACATCAGCAGCAACAACAGCATCAGTAGTAGAATCGTCATTATTATCATTAAGATTACAATAATCAAGGCCGTGGTCGCGTGGACATTTCTCTAGGTCCTCTGGTTTTTCCCTCCACATTTAAAATCAACGAGTTTTTGGCTGCTATACATTTCCATGTGACAAGCCACTTCATTGAGCTATCATTTGTGGCTAAGTCACTTCTGATAAAGAGATATTTCACTCAGTGGGCCTTACATGGTAAAATAGCAAGTATAACCCGTAAAAACAAAGTTTTTCACTATAAATCCTGTATATGCGTGGCGGCTAGAGTCCTCTCGTCCTCTGGCTTGAGATGGCTGCCACCTATGGGTCAGATGATTGTCTGCCAGTATTAAGCAATTGGTAATTAAATATTTAATTTGTTTTCCCTAAACAGTGTAAAATTTTGGAAAAAAATTTTCACGAACATTAATTGTCTCGCACAACGAGTCTGTGTGCAAAATGTCAGCTCGATTGGATCACGGGAAGTGGGTTAAAAAACGACCGAAAGATTTGCACGGTCGTAAGCAAGCACGCAAGCACGCAAGCAAGCAAGCGAACTTAATATAAAGGATTAAAAATGTTTTCGCTTTAATTTAACACGTATGAATAGAGGTTTAAGCATCTCAGTTTGCTGGCGTCCACAGTGATTGTGATGACAATTGGTAATGAACTGCAGGCAACGATTACAGAACATCACAGAGAAGGCTGCAACGCGGGGCTCAGGATGAATTTGAGAACATTAACACAACATAAAATATTGTACAAAAAGTTTCGCTGAACACATGAAAATAATTGTTGGGAAATAGATCTAAACATAACCATGTACATATGTTGAACTTCTTCCGCACAGTACTTAACCAACTGTGCTAATCGGACGTGTGGGGAAAGGACAATAAACTAAACGCAAAAAATAGTTTCTAAAGAAAAGGGCTTTCAGTCTAGTTTAAAACGTGCATAGCTCCAGTGCCTCCCTAATATCGGAAAGAAGAGTGTTCCAGATGGCCGCAGAAGCACATTCAAAAGTGCGCGACGCGATGACAGTCTTGACAGTCTTGATGACTAGCAGCCAAAAGCCGCTAGTCATCGAGTTTGACCAGAGTTCAAATTCCTCGCTCTGTCTCCACGGCAGGTGTCCTTCCCGAAAACTCTTCTTTCTACTCCAACTGGCATTCCCATCACTGGTTTCGTGAATCGGAATATCGTCCCTTTTGGCCATGATGTCATCCTCCGGCCCAATCGATGGAGGGATGCTGACAAGGTCGATGAGTCAGATGCCTTCTATAACCTCCTCTCCCAGGTGCAAGCTAAAGTGGCCCCTCGGGATAGTCATCCTGTTAGGTGACTTTAATGCCCGAGTGGGTCATGACGCTGACACCTGGGTTGGAGTGATTGGAAGGCATGGGCCAGATCAGCTCAATAATAACGGAAGGAGGTTGCTAGACTTCGTGCAGCCCATGGGCTTGTAATTACGATATTTTGTGCCACCAAACACTCCACCCTCTCAGCTCCCCATTAGTGATGGAGCAGTTGTGGAGAGAATTTAGAGTTTTTCATACCTGGGCAGTGTGCTTATGACCAGCTCTGGTTTGACATTAGAGGTCTCACTCCGAATCAGTCGGGCGGCATTTTCTTTTCATCGGCTGTACAATGGTGTGTGGAAGCTACCTGGTCTGTCGCTCCGCACGAAGCTTCGGGTCTTCTCAGCCACAGCCATGCCCTCCCTTCTCTACGCTTGCGAAACGTGACCCCTCTAATGGGACATCGGTGCCAGTTAGAAACATTCAGGTTGGCATGCCTACGATCCACCCTGGGTTTAATCAGGCTGGATTGTGTGAGGAGCTCACAAATCCTTGAAAGATCTAGACACATTCCCATCAGTGACCTCCTCTGGCAGGCAAGGCTGCGTTGGCTGGGTCATGTAGCCTGCATTTCCAGCCACTGCCTGCCCAAGGAGCTTCTGTTTGGCCGCATAGAGGGGGCTAAACGGGCACGACATGGGCTGGAAAAGAGATGGACTGATGCGGTACGGGAGGATGTGGAGCTGAGTGGTTCTTGCCAACGACTGGTACCAGCGTTGTCAAGATCGGCCTCTATGGAGGAGCCTCGTGAAGGACGCTACTGGGCAGTTGGAGGCAGTCGCCCTCCAGCAACAACGGAGGGCGGAGGAGCGACGCTCACAACAATGAGCGGAGGTGGCGGGTGGCTAAAATCCAGCAAGTTAGCACAGTAGAGGGTACAGCTGGTGCATCTACCAGTCATCTCAGTCAGCCAACCCATGGTACCAGGGTCTGTCCCGATACCTGTCAGCGAGCCTTCGACACTTCACGTGGTTTCAAAGTGCATCTGGCCTTGCACAGGCGCCGTAGCGATGCCACCATCACTTAGTGGTGAATGGCGGATATTGGTATTGGTGTGTCTTGATGGTGGGGAGTGGTAGTGTAGTTGTTAGCGCACTGCGCTCTACGAACCTGGCCACCCGCGTTCCAGACGTGTTCACGACCAATAACAGTGAAAGCAAATATCTTATCCAGTCATGGAGCCTCCCCCGTACGTCGACTCAACCTTACATCAGTTCCTAGACAACCCCCCCCCCCCATCGTGTGCCGTGATGGCCTTCATAGATGCTCGCTCACAGCACTAGCCCCTTACAGTCCGTCCAGGCTATATGGGGGATATTGTTACCCTGTGTGGGGAGCGGTGGTGCAGTGGTTAGCGGTTATGAGAGGAGGTTCGTGACCATACTTCACCACGCCTGTCCATCGGGCGTAGTTCTGGCTACTCACGCACCTCCACATGCGCCGTACCGGCCTTCATATGCGCTACTCGTGAACAGCACTTGCCCCTGGCAGTCTTTAAAAGGTTATACGGAGGACTTTTATCTATGCTCAAGTGTCTATGGAGTCTTTAAATACAAAACTTTCACTTTCGACCACACAACCCCCGCCCCCCCCTCTGCCCCCACCCTCCCCCTCCACTCGCCACCACTTGATTGGCACTTTTATTGGTGTCCACATTCTCCCCGGGGTTTCGCTGACTCATGCTCGCTTGGCACGAGGGAGAAATGTTTCTCTACCTGGGCTCGGAGGTGGGGGTTCAACACAGGGTGGGGGCGGGGGCCACCATCACCACCACCACCCACCCACCCTCCGCTGTGATGAGGCTTTGAGAGGAGCGAGCGAGGCCTTGGGCAAAATGGACCGATGGCGTGGTGGTCGAGACGAATCACGGAAAGCAGTTCGAGTGCAGGCGATGAAGTGAATGTTCATCGCGATGAGCACGGTTTGGCTACGTACGGTGCGACAGAAGTTCAACATACATGCGGTGGCAACGGTTTGGATGACGCTCATCCAGCAGTGGATTGACCGGGGCCGAAGGATGATGACAATTTGTCGTAGCCTGTATTATATTTGAGTGTATAAATAAATAACATTTTAATTCACGGGGATAATTCGGCTTCCACGGATTTCTCTTCTCCGTGGCTCTGAGAAGAGGTATTGCATTGCCGATCATTAATTATCTAGCGGAGCGCTGGCCAGTTGAGGGGTGGGTGGATGGTTGAGTGGTGAAGGGGAGAGGAGTGGGGGAGGAGACGTAGTGGCGGAGTGATCGTTACATTAATGAACATATTCAAATGACCAAATCATTATGCGAGGCACAAAACAAAGATCCCCGTAAGGATGTTAAACGGACTTTGCCGTTCGCGAGAACCCGCCTCGGAGGGGTGTACGGCGCAGATCCACTTTTGGCCGCCTTTGTCTCCCCAATGCTGATGTGTTATACACCCCACCAGGTACTGATTTGAGGCTGAGTCGACCTAGGGGAGACCCAGGACGAGGTTCACATAATCGTCACTGGTGGTGACCATGAGCGGGAATCTAACCCGAGTCGCCGGGTTCGTAGCGCAGCGCGCTGATCACACAAATGTCGTGACTAAGTCCTTGGAGGCAGTTCTTTAATCAACACCGAGCACACTTTGTACAAAACACATCCTACACGCTTACACACTCCTCCGTCTCTCGCTTATACGCCACTCTGCTGAGGTCGCCAGCCTGCACGCAACGCTCGCCGTCTGACACTGACGGCGCTGAACGAAGACAGCCAACTCCCGTCCAACAGCGCAATGTCTCAAGTGACGGCGACAGCGACGAAGGCGGCGAGACGACAGCGACGACGATGACGACGGTGACGATGATGACGATGACGACGGTGACGATGGTGACGATGACGACGGTGACGATGACGACGGTGACGACGGTGACGATGGTGACGATGACGACGGTGACGATGACGACGGTGACGACGGTGACGATGATGACGATGACGACGGTGACGATGGTGACGATGACGACGGTGACGATGATGACGATGACGACGGTGACGATGGTGACGATGACGACGGTGACGATGACGACGGTGACGACGGTGACGATGGTGACGATGACGACGGTGACGACGGTGACGATGACGACGGTGACGATGACGACGGTGACGACGGTGACGATGGTGACGATGACGACGGTGACGATGGTGACGATGACGACGGTGACGATGATGACGATGACGACGGTGACGATGGTGACGATGACGACGGTGACGATGACGACGGTGACGACGGTGACGATGGTGACGATGACGACGGTGACGACGGTGACGATGACGACGGTGACGATGACGACGGTGACGACGGTGACGATGACGACGACGGTGAAGATGACGACGACGGTGACGATGATGACGGTGACGACGGTGACGATGATGACGATGACGACGGTGACGATGACGACGGTGACGATGATGACGAT